GATCCTTTCGCCAGCATCAAGGCATATATCTACTTTGTAGTTTCTTTAAATCCAGCTATCTTATCTCCATAAACTTTGTCTCACCCTGACACATACATCAACCCTAATTCGTATTTCGTATAATCAAATTAGATATACTAGGTTTTATATAGAATATTCAGAGACTAACTGTGGTGATGCCCATCTCGATGGTGAGAGCATTCGGCTCACAAACTATAGAACAATGGTTCAATTACCGGATAGGGATAGACGTATGGGCGTGGTATTTTATACCCTATACCCCTGTTCACCTGGCAGTAGATAGGCACATGTGTGATAGTCAACTGTTGTGAATCACATGGTGTCAGACAAATTCTATTTTAAAATATGTAAGAAAATCTGATCATTTTGGAAAAACTACAAGTCTGGTAGGTAAAATTTATCCATACAATGTAGTATCTATTGATATTAAAAAAAAAATTCTTGAAGTCATCTCTCCATCAAATATAGTACAGTTACAAATACGGAATTCATATTAAATTTATGTAAGTGCAGTGTAAATAATATTGTAATATCACATCTAGAAATATATGCAGGAAGTTCTTATAAAATTGGAAAAAATCTTATTTAGCACAATGAACTAAATCTTCTAGTTTGATCTGCTCTAGGCAAGGTAAAGAGGAAGGGGTTAATCTTCTGAAGGTTTCTTGATCCAAGGAATAGGAGTTACCCTTTCCTTTCTTGGATCAAACTTGATTACCTTTAATTTTCTTGACTGTTTAGCCCTTCGGACTTTGCTCTTCCCTATGATAATAATAATAATAATAATAATAATAATAATAATAATAAATAATAATAATAATAATAATAATTTGATCACGTTGCCTATTTATCACAACTTTTAAATCGCCTTACCAATAACGTACTTTTTCATCTTAGAGTAGACTGTGTAGACAGTGTCCAGAATATCTTGCTGTCAATTTTGTCAAGGTTGGGAACCAAAACAATCATAGTACTAGGGGGAGAGAGCACAACTTTGTAGTACCCACAGTCAGTGGCCAGGCTTCAAACACCTTTTATTGTGCAGCAATAAAGGAATGGAACAGACTACCCGCACATGTCAAAGCCAGTCATAGCATGAACCAGTTCAAGAAGAGTGACAAAAGGTGTCTGATGAATGTAGCTACAGAAAGGGAGGAGAATGATTTTCTATTTTTTTTAGCTAACATACGTGTAAATTTTACCTTATTCCTAGTAATGACCCTCGTATTGTAGATAGTCTTAATGACCCTCGTGTAGTAGATAGTCTTTTTAGTATGATAATAAGATGTTATCTTCATTATAGAATAATAAGAAAATATTATAACCTTTATATTATAATAATAAGGTAAAAGGACCCCAATGGAAATAAGTCACTCTGTCTGACTTTTTTGGGTTATCCCAGGTTCTCTACACATATGCTGCTATGTATGATAATTCTATATAACTGTATTTGTGTATACCTAAATAAACTTACTTACTGACCGTTAAGATAAGAGTAGCATCCACTTTACTTATAGATAAGAAATCTGAATGTTGTACTGTCTTTTGTACTATTTTTAGCCACACCGCAGTGGGTACGTTAATACTTCCAGCACCACTGGAGTTTCACAACATTTTTTTTTTTGTTTTTTTTTTATTCGCCGGTACTCTCCCGGCCCGGGTCTTTTCCAAGAGTGGTCCCCTCAAGGAAGATTCCTTGATGTTGGTGAGGGGCTCTTGATTTAGGGAATTGGATCTGTGCTCCAGTTCCCCGAATTAAGCCTGAATGCCTTCCACATCCCCCCCCAGGCGCTGTATAATCCTCCGGGTTTAGCGCTTCCCCCTTGATTATAATAATAATAATCCAAGAGTAGTGACCCGGCCTTGGCTCCCTATCTGGGGAGTGTCTCGAGACCAAAGTCTCCCATGGGAGGAGGTACAAGTACCCCATCGTCTTTGGGACCAAGTGTCCCCAGGCCTAGCCACAGTCCCCGCCCTCACGGGGCTCGCAGGGAGAAGCTAGGCCTCTGGTCTGCCATCTACCCCGCCCCAAAGGGGCTCGTGGGGATGGCAGTCTTGTGAGCTGCAGGTGGTAGCAAGCTCAGGCTATGCTTACAACACATTTATACAATAACGTTTTTCCTCCAAGGACACGATCCACATTAATCAAATAAGAGCGAAATATATTAGTATTCTGGTGGGTAAGAAAGGGCAGGAGTGATTATTATTATTATTATTATTATTATTATTATTATTATTATTATTATTATTATTATTATTATTAGTAGTAGTAGTAGTAGTAGTAGTAGTAGTAGTATATTAACCATTCCATTGTATCCGCCTTTGGTTAATAATCAAAACTAAATCTTCTCTACCAAGGTTATTAAAGCCATATAGTATGAGCTGATAGAATATTGTAAACTCACCTAATGGCCATATGTACAAAATTACTACACTGTTATTGCCTTATTAATCTTAAGTTTGCCCGAAATGCTCTACATATAAAGGGGCTTTTGGCATATACACCAATTGTTATACTCCTTTGTACAAGCATGTATCATGCTGAAATAAACTTCTTATTCTTATTTAGGGGGGAAGCGTTAAACCCAGAAGGGTCCACGGTACCTAGGGAATGGGAGGCAATCAGGGTCAACCTACGACCTATTTTTTATATTATTCTCTGTAATATTTCTATTATTCATATAAATACTACATTTATATAATTACTATATTTATATAATTATTATATTTTTTAGTACTCTAGCTCTTCGTTACCCCAATTCCTTATTGCTCATATTAAATAGTCCATGAAGGCGGATATCAGCCAAATCTTTCAGTGGGCTGCAGAAAACAATATGAAGTTCAGCGATGAGAAATTTCAATTACTCCGATATGGTAAACATGAGGAAATTAAAATTTCATCAGAGTATAAAACAAATTCCAGCCACACAGTAGAGCGAAAAACTAACGTCAAAGACCTGGGAGTGATCATGTCAGAGGATCTCACTTTCAAGGACCATAACATTGTATCAATCGCATCTGTTAGAAATATGACAGGATGGATAATGAGAACCTTCAAAACTAGGGATGCCAAGCCCATGATGACACTTCAGGTCGCTTGTTCTATCTAGGCTGGAATATTGCTGCACACTAACAGCACCTTTCAAGGCAGGTGAAATTGCTGACCTAGAAATTATACAGAGAACCTTCACGGCACGGATAACTGAGATAAAACACCTCAATTACTGGAAACGCTTGAAGTTCCTGAATCTGTACTCCATGGAACGCAGACGGGAGAGATACATGATTATATACACCTGGAAAATCCTAGAGGGACTAGTGCCAAACTTGCACACGAAAATCACTCACGAAAGCAATAGACTCGGCAGACGGTGCAACATCGCCCCAATGAAAAGCAGGGGTGTTTCTAGCACGTTAAGAGATAACACAATGCGTGTCAGGGGCCCAAGACTGTTTGCCTCCCGGCATACATAAGGGGGATTACCAATAGACCCCTGGCTGTCTTCAAGCAGGCACTGGACAAGCACTTAAAGTCGGTACCTGACCAGCCGGGCTGTGGCTCGTACGTTGGACTGCGTTCAGCCAGCAGTAACAGCCCTGATCCACTACGAGGCCTGGTCATGGACCGGGTCGCGGGGGCGTTGACCCCTGGAACACTCTCCAGTTATGCATAGGTCCTGGGCACAGTAATACATGGCTGTAGACGGTACACTGTAAGATAAGATTTCGTTCGGATTTTTAACCCCGGAGGGTTAGCCACCCAGGATAACCCAAGAAAGTCAGTGCGTCATCGAGGACTGTCTAACTTATTTCCATTGGGGTCCTCAATCTTGTCCCCCAGGATCCAGGATGCGACCCACACCAGTTGACTAACACCCAGGTACCTATTTGCTGCTAGGTGAACAGGACAATAGTGTAAGGAAACGTGTCGAAATGTTTCCACCCGCCGGGAATCGAACCCGGGCCTTCCGTGTGTGAACCGGGAGCTTTAGCCACCAGGCCACCGGGCCTGGAAGGTGGATCTGCAAACATTGAGGAAAGGAAAGATTGGGATAGAATAAAAGTGAGAATAAAAGGTTGTGGGTAAGCAGGAAGAAAGTGGTAAGCAAAGTTAAGTAGCCTGACCATTTTGAGTGGGTTTGAAGGGAGTGGTTTTGCCATATGACTAAAAACGCATTATAGATATATATACAGAAGTGACATTATGATGATTTAACCTAGAATATTCCTACTAAACTGACTGCTTGTTTTCTCCACTCAATGTCCCATTGAAGGACTCTTGGTCCAAGGAACTGGAGCTTCTCTTTCATGGATCGAACCTGATTGTCTACCATTCCACAGGTACTGTATGACCCCTATTGGTTAAGTGCTTCCCCATGAATATATTATTATTATAAAAAAATATTCGCTAAAGCCAATGGGTTATACGACCCATTGTGACCGGATATAAACATGTATAGTTCATTACCACTGTTACTTGTTCAGCTATCAATACTTTGCGGCCCAATCTCTGGACCCATTATGTATCTCTGTAATCCTTTGACTACCGCCCACAGGGGCCAGGAGCTGTGAATCGACCCCTGCATCCACAACTAGGTGAGTACAGGATTGGTATATGGTGCATAATAATGGTGTTAAACTAACTTACACAACGCTGAGTAATATTAAGTGTTCAGTAAATGTTATCTTGCTTTATAAAACATTAGAACAGTCAGAGTTACATTTGACACGTATTTGGAACTGCGTATGTAAATAAGTTGTAAATAATGGCTAAAATAGTTACAAAAAAATGTTATGAATTTTTTTATTCACGTAACCAACGTCAAGACAGGTATAATTTTAACTATATTCATTTTACATAATAAAAAATATAAGTCTAAATAATTAATCTTTGAGTCATATAAATTACACTTTCAATTAGCATAGAACAACAACTTAGTAACTCATGAATTCTTTGCTTAATTAATGCCGTATATTGAAGTATATTGAGAAGATAAATACTAGTTCTTGCATGTGTAACCCGGAGGTATGATGAATCAAGCAGTCAAGCACATCCAGACGACGGCTCGTTAGGCTACTCCAGTCTCATATTTTCTTAATTTTCTTACTCATTTCTTGGTAAGTTGCAAAGCTAACATAATTGTAAATCGAATGAACTTGTACTTAAGGTTTAAGAAAAAGGTTGATGTAATTTGAGGCTCAGATAATGGAAGAATTTTAGAGTATAAATTTTACCATGACGAAAGTGACAGGACGTCACTTGGGGACGAGCCTTGTGTTGCTCGCATTAAACTCTTGATGCTGGTGAAGGGCTCCCTTCAGTGGACGTGCATTGATGTGGGTCAAGGGCTTTTGTTCCAAGAAATTAGAAATGGTCCCCATTCCTCAAGGAAGGTACATTGATGCTGAGCACGGGCTCTTCATTTAGGGAATTTGAAGTATCCTCCCCTTCGTTGGATTCAGTCTATTGCCTTAATTTCCCATTCCCTAGACAATATATGAACTTATGGGTTTAGCGCACTCCCACGAATAATGATAGTAATGGTGAAGGGCCTTTGACCCAAGGAATTAGAGGAACTTTCCTTTGGATTAGTCCATGGTTAAATTATGCATAATGTTCTATATAAGACTTGTTTAAATATGTACATGTATTGGACCTAAATAAAAACTTGCTTTCCCAGGTACTTCATAACCCCTATGGGGGAGTGAGTGAGCGAGTTTAGCAATGAGGTGTGTGTGTGTGTATGTACACAGTATAGTTTAACCCCTTTTTTAGGGGTTAAAGTATTCTTGCAGCACTTATGACCCTAGTGGGTGTAGCGCTTCTTTTTTATTATAATAAAGTATTCTTGTCAAGTAGTGTACAGACTGTTGGTGCTCAGTGTGCACAGTCCAACCCGACTGATCAGGATCTGTTGTGAGGCATTTGTCAAGTACCCTCTTGAAGACAGTTATGGTATTTTGGTAATCCCCCTTAGCCCAGACAGTGGGCATACTCATAAAAAATATGTTGTAGATGAATGGTTCAGAGAACCAACAAGTTGATAAATTAGACACATGTGCAACACTTGGGTATCTTTAATGAGGAAACGTTTCACCACAAAGTGGCTTCATCAGTCCATACAAAGGAGAATCGTGAAGAACAGGAGTAGTTTGAGGTAATCAGTCCCTCAGCCTTGAGTCGATGTAATCAGTCCATCAGTCTTGAAAAGAATACAGCATATGTGCGAAGAAGTGGCTTATATACTGTAGGCAGATGATGAGGTGCAGCAGTTGTAGGTGGTATCACATTTACCCAATGTGGAAGTATTAAGACCCCAAGAAGTTGACACTGCAACTTCTTGGGCTCTTAATTCTTGGGAATTCTTCACTTGCCTAACCCTTGGGCACGACCTACTTCCACATTGGGCAAATGTGATACCACCTACGACTGCTGCACCTCTTCATCTTCCTACAGTATATAAGCCACTTCTTTGCACGTATGCTGTATTCTTTTCAAGATTGATGGACTGATTACATTGACTCGAGGCTGAGGGACTGATTACCTCAAACTACTCCTGTTCTTCACAGTTATCCTTGGTATGGACTGATGAAGCCACTGTGTGGTGAAACGTTTCCTCATTAAAGATACCCAAGTGTTGCAAATGTGTCTAATTTATCAAAAAATATGTTACTTAGTGCCTCAAATATTTTAGGCGCTCTTCACCTCGCATCAATCTATCCTTACCCCACTTATGGTATTTGTCTATGGGGATCAGCAACAACAGATCACTTTGTTGTTACTAAACAATTATCACTCAATCAGGTGCTTACAACTATTGAAAATTAAAAAAAACATAGCAATGATGGCCAGATTACTGAAAATTATATTATGTATTATACTATATTACCATATAGTAATATATATTATACTGTTTTATACTAATACTCTCTTTGTCATTGCCAGTATATTATATACATGTATATTTATGGGGTCACAGGATATATACCACAAGGGCTGTATTCTCTTAGTGTATGTGTTCTGAGTTTTTACTTTAAAAGTATTCCAGTCTGGTGGTGAAAAGGTTACCATGAAGCTTTAATGATCCTTGTGTAGTTGGTAGGCTTTAAATTCCATAAACCAAACATCATGGGAAAGTGCTAAACAAATACAGCACATACGGAATGGGAGGCAATTAGGTTTGATCCTAGGATGGGTTCACTTTCTTAGATAAAAGATTTCCTCACCATTATCAACAGACATCCCTGGAGGGTTACAAATAACCTGTTGAATTAAGGTTCAGCATTCTGATATGCATACATGCATAATGAAACTTCCATTACCTGGAAAATTACAATGAATTTATGTAATTTATGTACATTACTGTACTGTATCCTGTGCACCCAGTTGGTTATGCTATGTTTAATCTTTTTTGTATTACAGTATATGTGCTAACCTTTTTACAAAATAACCTGATAAAGTGGGCAAAGATGGGATTAAAATTAGGCAGCATATGCATAAATTTATAAATACTCGGATACATACGTTCATGATAGAGTAGGGGAAGGGTACTTTCCATCTTTTGCAAATTTTGTTTTTAATATATATTGAATATTAGTTTGAAATATTTGTTTATAGTTTGCATTGGGTACTTTTCACAATCTAGGAGTGGAGCAGCAATGTCAGAAGATGAACAGCATACTCAAAGCGAGCAGCAGGAGGGGGGGGAGGAGGCGACAGCAGCAGGACAAGAGACCCCCCAGGTGAATGGTGTTGAAGCCCTTAAGTCTCATGTTTTGCAGCACAAGGTGGACACAGCACTATGGGCTACACGAGCACTCACCCTCATCTTCTGCATATCCTACCTTATACCAATTTTTGGGTATGTGTTTATTGCATGTTTTCATATAGTATTATCACTTAGTAGATTGGTTTTACTTTTACCATGCTGAATTGTAAATACTACGAAATTTAAATAAAAGAATTACAGTACTGTATTTGTTAACCTGTCAGAAATGCAATTTTCAAATTCACTTTGCAGATTTTTTTACGGTTAACCATTTCAGTTACCATCAAGCAGAACTACGGCATTGAGACCAGGGTCCCTTCCCGTAGTTCTATGTCACAAACTCAGTTCGCTCAGATAAGCTGTGAGTGGTTAATTTTGTCCTAGATATGAGAGAATGAGTTTGTGGTGAGTGTGCACAGTTTAATAAAAATCCTGCCCTGTGCAGTGTATAATAGGAAAAGGAAAAAACTGACCTTATGTTTAGTTTAAAATAGCAACTTTAAGGTGTTTTCTCGGATGGTCTTAATAGTTTTATTGGCTGTTTTTTGGTATTTGATAGAATGGAAGACATATTTAAATGTGTGATTTGGTTGGTTTCAGGTAGAAAATATTCAGTTTTTGCTGATTTTCCTGAGGATGATAAGGGCCCCCCCGAGTCTGTTTTATGGGTTTTTAATAGGTCTGATTCAATTATTGGGATGCTGTAAATCATGAACCTTTGTGCCTGGTTATATTTTATTATCTGAGAACGTAAATCTTTCTCCAGTCACATTCCATGTTATACAGTTTTATAGTATGATAGGGCTGTCTTATGTGATCGTTAAGTGGGGACCCCCCCTTTTTTTTCAGTCAACACATTCAGTAACTTAATGTCTTATTTAGCTGTAGTGACATCTTTTACATTCTTCTGAGCAGGTGACTGTTTGTGCTGTTTATGCTTTAGCTTTTATTTTTCCCCCCTCATCATTTCTAGTTGTACAAATGATTGAGTCATTCATGCACAGTTTACTTGCAGTTTGCATCACATTTACACATTCTCTAAGCATATCTTACACTTTTCATTTCCTTCAAAAACTTGTAACATTTCACTTATTCTTCTTAGCACCTCCAGCGTTATTAGTATTTCTTCGGCGCCATGATAAATATCCAGAGACCAGATAATGATAAAAATACAGTAATAAAAACAGATTGATAAAACAGTGAGTGAGGCATAGGATGTTTTCAGAATGCAGTTTAGGTAGTGTGGGTTGTCAGTGGAAGGAAAGGAGTCATCTGCTAGGGCATGTAATACCCAATTTTTTCAGCAGTGATAGAAGCGCAGTTACACAGTTAACAGGAATAAATTCCTAGTCCCATTTATGAGATTTATGCAGTGAAGGAGTTTAATGTTTTCTTGAAAGATTGAATTAGGGGTCATAGGTAATTATCAGGACTGTAGTTTGTTAAATTATATATCAATAATTATCTTTGCTACTTTTGTACAGTACTGCTAAAAGTTTGATACCGGTCATTTTAAGGCTTTGGAATTGCATAGCAGGGGAACTTTTGATTGCCATAATACTTTTGACCATCTATGGTGAATTATTTACATGACAGCATATGTCTTAATATAGTTCTTCATAATATTTCAGATTAATTGTTTACTCGACAACATATGTCTCAATGTTTCAGAATTGTGTGGGAATTCACTAAACTGTAAGAGAGGCTTCTTCTATATTACTGGTAAATCTTGTCTTCATATAATGCTAGCATTTGCTTTCATTTTTGGTTCTGATGAGCTTGGGGCATAAGGCTTGTATATTTGTTATGAGAGGTAGGTTATGCTTTGGGACTGTGACTTAGTTATTATAACCCTAACATATTAACTGTGCTTCTTGAGTTAGTGTTTGGTTGATAATTCACTGTGGTGCATTGTGTGTGGGGGGGGGGGGGTGTAGCATAGGCTGCTGGAGATAAAAGGTATAAAATACTTATATGATGGAAAATAAACACAAATGCAGTATAATGTGATCCTTTATTGGCTATGTTTCACCCACAGAGTGGGCTTTATCAAGTTACAAACAGATCTGTTTGTTTCAAATACTCACAAACAGATCTGTTTGTGTCTATAAAGCCCACTGTGTGAGCAAAACAGTCAATAAAGGATTTCATTATACTGAATTTGTTTTTATTTTTCCAGTATTAGTTGCTGTTGTAATAACCCTTAACCTGTTTACTGTCGGAAGCCTCTTACAGTGTCAGCATTTAAAAAATGAAATGGTAGATAGTTTTTCTGAAGGCAGTGACACCAAAAATACAAAATATGATGGAAAATTTAGGAATTATGCAGGTGCAAAGTTAGCAATCTGGGCACACTTTATGTATGTATTGGCAATTTTGCTCACTTTGATTCCTATCTTAAGCAAATTCCAATACTTTGATCAAATTCTTAGATACTTTACTAGCATACTTTCTGTTCTGTTGATTGAGCACAAGAAACTGCACATTCAACTATAATAACTGCTTTATAAACTGCACAGAAGTCAGTAATTTGGCCAGATTTACTCGATTAAAAAAATTCCAATTTGAAAATAGTCCAAAATAAACACTATACATTCCAGGCACTAAAGCAACATTTTTTTTTTTTAATCACATCTTCAGGCCTCTCCATTTTAAATTAATCATCATAAAAAAAAACTAAGATTTACCCTGTCTCAGATAAAAAAAATATACATAACCAGGACTGATTGGTCATGGTTTACAGTACCTTAAATAATTGAATCATACCTAGTAAAAACCCATGAAACAGACCAGGTGGTGTTGGGGCCCTTGCCCGTCCTCAAAAAATCATCAAAATTCTAATTTTTCCGTTACAGTGGACCCTCGGTTATCGGCCGTGATCCATTCCAGAAGCTGGGCCTAAAACCTAAATGGCCGAAAACTGAAATATTTCCCATAAGAATTAATGCAAATACAATTAATCCATTCCAGACAAAAATATTCACGAAAAAGATACTTTTTTAAACAAATCAATATTACATACCTTTATTGAAGACTAATGCTGGCTTCTGGAATGCCTGCTACACTTCCTGCATATATGCTTCACTTCCTGAATGCCTGCTACACTCCCTGAATGCCTGCTACACTCCCTGCATGCCTGCTACATTCCCTGCATGCCTGCTACACTCCCTGCATGCCTGCTACACTCCCTGCATGCCTGCTACACTCCCTGCATGCCTGCTACACTCCCTGCATGCCTGCTACACTCCCTGCATGCCTGCTACACTTCCTGCATTCCTGCTACACTTCCTGCATGCCTGTTACACTTCATGCATGCCTGTTACACTTCATGCATGCCTGTTACACTCCCTGCATGCCTGTTACACTCCTTGCATGCCTGTTACACTTCCTGCATGCCTGCTACATTTCCTGCATGCCTGCTACACTTCATGCATGCCTGCTTACATCTTCTGCATTCTGTACACTTCTGCATTCCTGCTACACTTCCTGCATGCCTGCTACACTTCCTGCATGCCTGTTACACTTCCTGCATGCCTGCTACATTTCCTGCATGCCTGCTACACTTCATGCATGCCTGTACATTTCCTGCATATCTGCTACACTTCCTGCATGTCTGCTACACTTCCTGCATGCCTGCTACACTTCCTGCATGCCTGTTACACTTCATGCATGCCTGTTACACTTCATGCATGCCTGTTACACTCCCTGCATGCCTGTTACACTCCTTGCATGCCTGCTACACTTCCTGCATGCCTGCTACATTTCCTGCATGCCTGCTACACTGTCCTGACACTGCCTGCTACACTTCCTGCATGTCTGCTACACTTCCTGCATGCCTGCTACACTTCCTGCATGCCTGCTACACTTCCTGCATGCCTGCTACACTTCTTGCATGCCTGCTACACTTCCTGCATGCCTGCTACACTTCTGCATGTCTGCTACAGTCCCTGCATTCCTGCTACACTTCCTGCATGCTTGTTACACTCCCTACATGCCTGCTACACTCCCTACAGGCCTGCTACACTCCCTACATGCCTGCTACACTCCCTACATGCCTGCTTACAGCCCCTGCATGACCTTACATGTAAGATGCAGCTGATTTCAAGCATGTTTATCTTGAAATCAGCCAAACTCATCTCTTTTAGTAGTACAGCTTCTCCTTACTTAGCGACGCACTCGTTTACCGACAATTCAGACTTATGATGGGCTCTCTGACCAGTATGATTACCTAAATACTAATGTAATATGTATATTTAGAGATAATTTTCTCTATTCTGTTTATTATAATATACAGTAAACAATGTATAAATATTTCAAAATGTACCACTTAGCGACGAATTTGTTTACTAACGTGGGCTTAGGAATGGAACTCTGTCGTTAAGTGAGGAGAGGCTGTATATCTTTCATTCTATCAAATGTTACCAAAAAAACATGATAAAACCATAAAAAACATTCTAGAAAACACCTCAAAGTTGCTATTTTAAATTTATCAAACACAAGGTCATTGTTTTCCTTTTCCCTATCATGCACCACATGGGGCAGGATTTTTTTTTTTATACTGTGCACATACTGCACAGACTCATTCTCTTCTGTCTAGGCCAAAATTTACTGCTCACAGCTTATCTGAGGAAGCTGAACTCAAACTGTAGATTTACATAAGCGGCCCTGGTGTTAATAACTCAGAACTATGGATGAGATGATGAAAGTGTTAAACTGCTGAAGGGTCTAAAGTAAACATGCCTTCGGTGCTTCTGATTTTGAAAAAAAAAAAAATTAGCATTTTATCTTGCCAAAAAAATTTCCATGGTTTTAGATGTGTAATAAAACAAAAATGAGTGAAATCTGATAATTACTTAATCTGAATATTTAAATTTGATGTTGGTAATAAATTTATGGCAGCATGAGTGCTTGCCCTTTAAGGGAAGTTTGCGTTAATTTTTTTTTTTATGACTTTTTTCCAGTTTTTCTAATTTTTATGGATCATACGTTTTACATCTGTATGTTTACATATCATATTTCACTTATATTTGTTGCTCAGTAACACTACACAGATATAAATGGCATTTACTGAAGTTAATGACATTTTCCCATTTGGCATACATTTACATAATTGGCAGCCTAAGAAACCAAGTATAAATTAAATATATAATTTGATATACGTATTCCTTAACCCTTAAACTGTCCAAACAGATTTACATTCACATGCATAGTGCTCCAAAAGTAGATCTACATTTTTTTTGGCATATTTTCAAATAATGTATAACAAAAAACGTAGATCAAAGTTTTTTTTACACGTTTTCAAATTTTAAAAAAAAAATCTACGCTTTTTTTGCATACTTTCAAGTGTTGAAAAAATGTAGATCTACGTTTGGACAGTTTAAGGGTTAAGCAATGATAAAGTTTTATCCTGGAGCTGAAATTAAGGATTGAACTGTTTTCGTGTCAGTTTGTCTTATAATACTTTATGAAAGAGTAAAAACTTGGTTATCCATTGTCTTGGTAAGTGTGTTACATTGTAAAACTACAGGCAGACCCCACTTTACACCGCTTAGTTTTACAGCGTTTTGCTAATGCAGCTGTTTTCAGTTGTACCTATTTTTCATTTATTCACTTCCCACAATAAATATATTCACCACTCACTGTAAGCTAAGGACAAAAAATATTTTAAGGTAAGCAATGTGTGTACTGTATATGCATTTTTTTTAGACCTAGCTCAGTTGCTCACTTAATGTGATAGTGTAAATATGTTATCAGGTGAAAATAAGGCTTTACAGCAGTAGCCCAAAGCCTAACCTGCTATATAAGTGGGGCCTACCTGTCCATATTGTATGTCGATTTTTTAGTGTTGTGTGCGAAAATTGATGTAGTTACTGATTTTTTTTAAACAGGAATCCTCACAGTAGTTACCAGAAAGTATTGATGAGTAATGCTGCTACATCTGCCCTGAGACTTCACCAGCGAATCCCATCAGTCCAATTCTCACGAGAGTTCTTTGCTCAGCTGTTGATGGAAGACTCGGCACACTATCTTCTCTATTCTCTGATCTTCATGTATACAGCTCCAATCACAATGGTCTTGGCCCCAATATTCCTGTTTGCTCTGTTGCACTTTGCCAGCTACTCTCTAGGACTTTTAGATGTGAGTATGAATTTGGTGTGGCAGGTACAGGTTCGCCATCACTAATCCGGCACTAATTTCAGCTAGCATAATTTCAAATTTCATCATTATACTGACTCGGAAATTGTGCAGATGGTTGTAAATCCACAGCAGCAATTCAATGGAGGAGAAAGCATTGATGAAAATGAGGAAGATGTAACAGAAAGAGTCTCTACTGATAGATTAATTAAGCGTATTCTAACCTAACCACTCTGTAATCCAGCAAACTCACTAATCCGGCACACTACAGGCCCCAATGATGCCGGATTAGTGATGGCCGACCTGTATTTTTTTTTTTATTCTTAGCAGAGAAAGGCTTCATTGAAATTTTTAGTATTAAAATTTTCATTAATAATCTAATGAATCAAACATATTTACAACAAACCATTAACTAGAAATGAAAACTGGACATCATTGTAGTCCATCCTGGACCATTTTCAGGTTGAAAGTGAATAAGAAAAGGGAAGAGAAGAAAGCCAAAAGTAAAATCAAAGCAGTAGAAGGTGAGGAGACAGCTAAGGTCAGGTTAAGTCACCAGTGTTCTGAAGATTAAGAGAATTTAACGGTGTATTGAAAGAGGCAAGCATTTATAGCAACAAAGCTGAGTCTAAGATTCATGTTAGTAAGTTGAGTGTATATGGGCTGACATCTCTTATTTAAAGAGGGTAAGATAATATTTGGAGTGGGCAATTGTCTAGGATTTAGGCCCTTAACATGACAAAAAATGTGTAGTTAATGTTGCCAAGATGAACACTGCTTTTAGTCCTTAAGTGTATTAGAAGGGCAGCAGCCATTTTCATGTATGTATTGAGAGAGGATCATGAAATTAAGTAGACACCCAAAGTAGCAGTGGCAGAATTAAATTATGAAGAAAATTAGTAGAAACAGCAGTAGAAACTTGTATTAATTTTTGATGAATTTTGGAATTAATTTTAGTAATTTTATCTAAAACCAAAAATGAAAATCTGGTAAAAGCTAAAAAAAAAAAAAAAAAAATAATTCTTGTAGATGTATGCTTTCCAATTTTAATTGAAAAACTGGAATTAGATTACAAAATGCAACAAATTAAATTTACTTAAGGTACAATTTTCTTTAAAATATCCTTGACTATACACTAGTGCTAATTCCCAATTTCTAGATCAGAATTTTTTCAGGTTAAAAATTTCTTTATCTTTTTTAATATGACAAAAAGTGCAAATCATACACATCATCTGTATAGTGATACCAACACTCTTATATGGGTGTGCAGCATGGGTTGTTAATGCTGAGAGCGAGGAGGTTGGAGGCAGTGGAGGTGCCATGTCTGATGGCAATATGCGGTGTAAATATGCAAAGAATTTGTAGCTTAGAGATCAGGAGGAGGTGCAGAGTTAGGAAAAGTGTTATCCAGAGGGCTGAGCGGTTGTTGAGGTGGTTTGGATATTGAGAGGATGCAACAAAATAAGATGACTTTAAGGGTTTATAAATATGTAAAGGAGGAAAGGCAGGGTCGGGGTTGCTCTAGTAAAGGATAGAGGGAGGGGGTAAAAGATTTTGTGTGCAAGGGGCTTGGACATCCAGAAGGTGTGGGTGTGTTAGGAGTGAGTGGAGGCAAATAGTTTTTGGGACTTGAGCTGTTGGTGTGAGCAAGGTAACATTTTGTGAAGGGATTCCAAGAAACTGGTTAACTGGACTTGAATTCTGAAGGAGGGGCAGGGCTATTTGAAGTTTGGGGGGCATCTGAACAGTGGTATTGGCATGCCTCTGGTAAGACAGTGATGGAGTGAATGATGGTGAAAGCATTTTTTTTTCAGTTCACCCTACCTCGTTTGGAGACGGCCAGTGTGTTAAAAAATAACGTAATGCAATTTTAGGAACAGTTTAATTTAGACTGGTTTCTTTCAAGTATTTTATTGTATGTTATATGTTTATAGAAGGGCCCTCTAGGTATAGGGCAGTACACTTTCTAGGGTTTTACTCACTGAGAGTAAAGAAAATGGGATGCAGGAGAATAGCCCTGCATCCAGGTAAGAGTAGAGGTGAATTTTTTAAATATAAAATAGGTAATTTGTTTAAATATATAAAAGCCTATTGGAGAAATAGAATGGGCTTATAATGATAGCATAAGCAATGTGGTCGATAGTATATGGGAATGTATTTTAAAAGGGTTACCCTTTCGGAGTGTCACGTTGAAGGTTTTGGTACAGGACACACGTGGGTCAGGAGGGAAGAGGAGGTATTGTGGATGATATGTAAAGAGTAGTAGTAGGTGAGAAAAAAAGTTAGCATATAGAAGTTTTACACATTGTGAATCTGTGATATTGCTAATAGGGAATAGTTATGGAGATAAGAAGATTAAGTAGGTGGTTGAAGCAATGTAAAAAGAGAGCAAATGAGAGATGTGAGATGTTATCAAAATTTGTTGAAAATATAGAAAAAGTTTTGAGTGAGATTATAAGTTACATAGAAGCTAGATAACAAACGGATTTGTCAAAGTTAAAAATAGCAAGAAATTATTATTAAATAGAGTTTAATGTATTGGGAGATGATAGAATTTTTGAGGAATTGTGTAATGTGATGAGTAGAGAAGCTGCGATTTCAGGTATAGCAAGAGGATATAACACTTGTAAGGTAGAGGATAAATGTTTGAGTGTGGGGAAGTTACGTTTTTTTTAAGCAAGTCGGTATCATGAAGGGGGTAAGGAGCCAGGATTGAAGGATAAAGATGAAATGTTAAAAGCAGGTTGGGATATAATTTGGATGGTTGGTGCAATTATTAATAAACTGTATGGAAGAGGTAGGTACCTAGGGAATTGCACAGAGCATGCATAGTTCCTGTATAAAGTCAAAGGGGATTAACAGAGAGTCGACATAAAATTATAGGGATAAGTCTGTTGATTACCTGGTATAAAGTGTTGGTAAGTATTCAATTGAAAGAATTAAGTATGCGGTGATAGGAAGCAAGATGAAACAAATTGAGGTGCTTTTTATGGATAATGTTAGGGGGTGTTGTTGACCAGTGTTTAATGACAACATATAAGTGAACAGTTTTATGATAAGGTTAAAGAGCCCTTTGTGCATTTATGGATTTGGAAAAGGCTTTATGACAGTTGGTAGGGGGGCAATGTGGCAGATGTTGCAAGTGTATGGTGTAGGAGGTAGGTTACTGAAAGCAGTGAAGAGTTTTTACGAGGATAGTGAGGCTCAAGTTAGAGTATGTGGGAAAAGAGGGAAATTTTTTCCCAGTAAAAGTAGGCCTTAGACAAGGATGTGTGATGTCACCGTGGTTGTTTAATATATTTATAGATGGGGTTGTAAGAGAAGTAATGCGAGGGTCTTGGCAAGAGGCGTGGAGTTAAAAGATAAAGAATCACACACAAAGTGGGGTTGTCACAGCTGCTCTTTGCTGATGACACTGTGCTCTTGGGAGATTCTGAAGAGAAGTTGCAGAGATTGGTGATGAATTTGGTAGGGTGTGCAAAAGAAGAAAATTAAGGTGAATACAGGAAAGAGTAAGGTTATGAGGATAACAAAAAGATTAGGTGATGAAAGATTGAATATCAGATTGGAGGGAGAGAGTATGGAGGAGGTGAACGTATTCAGATATTTGGGAGTGGACGTGTCAGCGGATGGGTCTATGAAAGATGAGGTGAATCATAGAATTGATGAGGGAAAAAGAGTGAGTGGTGCACTTAGGAGTCTGTGGAGACAAAGAACTTTGTCCTTGGAGGCAAAGAGGGGAATGTATGAGAGTATAGTTTTACCAACGCTCTTATATGGGTGTGAAGCGTGGGTGATGAATGTTGCAGCGAGGAGAAGGCTGGAGGCAGTGGAGATGTCATGTCTGAGGGCAATGTGTGGTGTGAATATAATGCAGAGAATTCGTAGTTTGGAAGTTAGGAGGAGGTGCGGGATTACCAAAACTGTTGTCCAGAGGGCTGAGGAAGGGTTGTTGAGGTGGTTCGGACATGTAGAGAGAATGGAGCGAAACAGAATGACTTCAAGAGTGTATCAGTCTGTAGTGGAAGGAAGGCGGGGTAGGGGTCGGCCTAGGAAGGGTTGGAGGGAGGGGGTAAAGGAGGTTTTGTGTGCGAGGGGCTTGGACTTCCAGCAGGCATGCGTGAGCGTGTTTGATAGGAGTGAATGGAGACAAATGGTTTTTAATACTTGACGTGCTGTTGGAGTGTGAGCAAAGTAACATTTATGAAGGGATTCAGGGAAACCGGCAGGCCGGACTTGAGTCCTGGAGATGGGAAGTACAGTGCCTGCACTCTGAAGGAGGGGTGTTAATGTTGCAGTTTAAAAACTGTAGTGTAAAGCACCCTTCTGGCAAGACAGTGATGGAGTGAATGATGGTGAAAGTTTTTCTTTTTCGGGCCACCCTGCCTTGGTGGGAATCGGCCGGTGTGATAATAAAAAAAAAAAAAAAAATTTTTATATAATTATTCTCCTCTTAGGTCATGGGCCAGTACAATGCCTTGGGATCACGGTTTCTCATCTCACTGGTAGAGTTTCAGCACAGAAACATTCTTCGTGGAGCTGCATTTGTGGAGATATTTCTCATGCCCCTCTGCATCCTACTACTATTTCTGTGAGTATGTTACTGGTACTTTGTTAATTTTTTTAAATATCAGTAAATATGTTAATTTTTTTAAATATCAGTAAATATGTTACCTATTTTGAAAAAAAGAATGGTAGATATTTTCAAATTATAATTTGTATTAGACATAAAAGAATTTTTATGTAGGCTGATATATCTAGTGACTGGAAATGTATTTTTTAATGGTTAACCCTTTCGGAGTGGGTCCCGTTGTACTACGGCTTTGAAGCCCAGGTCAGTCCCATTTCTCTACGTGATGAGCTCAGCTCTCTCAGATAATCTGTGAGTAGTAAATTTGGGCCTAGATATGCACTAATGACTTGTCTAGCTGCTGGTTGAGCATGGTGCACACACACTGGCTAATGCTTTGCCATCTGTCACTGTGGTGTACACTTACTTTTCTGTCTGTACATATTGTACATAGTGTACATACTTGTATGCAGTAAGGCCCCACTTATACGTCAGGTTAGGTTCCAGGCTACTGCCGTAAATTGGAAATCGCTTTAAATGGAACACCTTTTTTTCCACTTATAAATGCAAATAAATACTAGATAACAAGTTTACACTAACATATATTAAGTTAGCAATAGAACTAGGCATTAAAAACAATATAAAAAGTAAAACACACACATAGTACACTCATTACTTACCTTAAAATATTTGTAGTCTTAATGTAGGGTGAGATGAGTAGTATTTATTGTAAGAAATTAGGTGCGGTAGGTATGGTAGCCAGCAAGGCTACCGCACCTACCATACCAGGCCACCTCACCTACACATAATATACTACAACATTTAAAGCGTCCCAGAGCGATAAAATGTATATACAGTTCACTCATTACTTTTTTTTTTTTTCCAACAAGTCGGCCGTCTCCCACCGAGGCAGGGTGACCCAAAAAAGAAAGAAAATCCCCAAAAAGAAAATACTTTCATCATCATTCAACACTTTCACCACACTCACACATTATCACTGCTTTTGCAGAGGTGCTCAGAATACAACAGCTTAGAAGCATATACATATAAATATACACAACATATCCCTCCAAACTGCCAATATTCCAAACCCCTCCTTTAAAGTGCAGGCATTGTACTTCCCATTTCCAGGACTCAAGTCCGACTATATGAAAATAACCGGTTTCCCTGAATCCCTTCACTAAATATTACCCTACTCACACTCCAACAGATCGTCAGGTCCCAAGTATCATTCGTCTCCATTCACTCCTATCTAACACGCTCATGCGCGCTTGCTAGAAGTCCAAGCCCCTCGCCCACAAAACCTCCTTTACCCCCTCTCTCCAACCCTTTTGAGGATGACCCCTACCCCTCCTTCCTTCCCCTATAGATTTATATGCTTTCCATGTCATTCTACTTTGATCCATTCTCTCTAAATGACCAAACCACCTCAACAACCCCTCTTCTGCCCTCTGACTAATGCTTTTATTAACTCCACACCTTCTCCTAATTTCCACACTCCAAATTTTCTGCATAATATTTACACCACACATTGCCCTTAGACAGGACATCTCCACTGCCTCCAACCGTCTCCTCGCTGCTGCATTTACCACCCAAGCTTCACGTCCATATAAGAGTGTTGGTACTACTGTACTTTCATACATTCCCTTCTTTGCCTCCATAGATAACGTTTTTTGACTCCATATATACCTCAACGCACCACTCACCTTTTTTCCCTCATCAATTCTGTGATTAACCTCATCCTTCATAAATCCATCCGCCGACATGTCAACTCCCAAGTATCTGAAAACATTCACTTCTTCCATACTCCTCCTCCCCAATTTGATATCCAATTTTTCTTTATCTAAATCATTTGATACCCTCATCACCTTACTCTTTTCTATGTTCACTTTCAACTTTCTACCTTTACACACATTCTCAAACTCATCCACTAACCTTTGCAATTTTTCTTTAGAATCTCCCATAAGCACAGTATCATCAGCAAAAAGTAACTGTGTCAATTCCCATTTTGAATTTGATTCCCCATAATTTAATCCCACCCCTCTCCCGAACACCCTAGCATTTACTTCTTTTACAACCCCATCTATAAATATATTAAACAACCATGGTGACATTACACATCCCTGTCTAAGACTTTTACCGGGAAGTATTCTCCCTCTCTTATACACACCCTAACCTGAGCCTCACTATCCTCATAAAAGCTCTTTACAGCATTTAGTAACTTACCACGTATTCCATATACTTGCAGCATCTGCCACATTGCTTCCCTATCCACTCTATCATATGCCTTTTCTAAATCCATAAATGCAATAAAAACTTCCCTACCTTTATCTAAATACTGTTCACATATATGCTTCAATGCAAACACTTGATCTACACATCCCCTACCCACTCTGAAACCTCCCTGCTCATCCGCAATCCTACATTCTGTCTTACCTCTAATTCTTTCAATTATAACCCTACCGTATACTTTTCCTGGTATACTCAGTAAACTTATTCCTCTATAATTTTTACAATCTCTTTTGTCCCCTTTCCCTTTATATAAAGGGACTATACATGCTCTCCGCCAATCCCTAGGTACCTTCCCCTCGTTCATACATTTATTAAACAAAAGTACCAACCACTCCAACACTATATCCCCCCCTGCTTTTAACATTTCTGTCATGATCCCATCAGTTCCAGCTGCTTTACCCCCTTTCATTCTATGTAATGCCTCACGTACCTCCACCACACTTACATTCTGCTCTTCTTCACTCCTAAAAGATGGTATACCTCCCTGGCCAGTGCATGAAATTACCGCCTCCCTTTCTTCCTCAACATTTAAAAGTTCCTCAAAATATTCTCGCCATCTACCTAATACCTCCCTCTCCCCATCTACTAACTCCCCTACTCTGTTTTTAACTGACAAATTCATACTTTCCCTAGGCTTTCTTAACTTGTTTAACTCGCTCCAAAATTTTTTCTTATTTTCATTAAAATTTCTTGACAGTGCCTCTCCCACTCTTTCATCTGCTCTTCTTTTGCACTCTCTCTCACCACTCTCTTCACCTTTCTTTATACTCTCCATATACTCTGCTCTTCTTATAACACTTCTGCTTTGTAAAAAACCTCTCGTAAGCTACGTTTTTCTCTTTTATCACACCCTTTACTTCATCATTCCACCAATCACTCCTCTTTCCTCCTGCCCCCACCCTCCTATAACCACAAACTTCTGCCCCACATTCTAATACTGCATTTTTAAAACTATTCCAACCCTCTTCAACCCCCCTACTACTCATCTTTGCACTAGCCCACCTTTCTGCCAATAGTCGCTTATATCTCGCCCGAACTTCCTCCTCCCTTAGTTTATACACTTTCACCTCCCTCTTACTTGTTGTTGCCACCTTCCTCTTTTCCCATCTACCTCTTACTCTAACTGTAGCTACAACTAAATAATGATCCGATATATCAGTTGCCCCTCTATAAACATGTTCATCCTGGAGCCTACCCATCAACCTTTTATCCACCAATACATAATCTAACAAACTACAGGTCTCCCTCAAAATTCGCGAGAGTTAGGGGATCAAGAGCCTCGCGAATGTTGAAAACCGTGAATGTTTGGTGCCCCAATATATTGTAGGGAAATATATTACAATACTGCTTCCTTAACTTGTTGAAGCATGAATAATCATAAAATACATGAAAACGTCGTAAATTGTACTAAATATATACATGTTATGCTTTAATAACGTATGTTATTTAATAACATGTTAATAACATGTATGTTATTAAATATCACAGACCACCACTGCCTCCACCAATGCCTCCACCACTGCGAGTCCCTACTACCCTCCGTCCGACCCCCGCAACTGGCAGCCAGCCCTCCCACCACTCAGTGTGGTGAGTGTTTTGTTTGTTCATTATTTGCTATTAAACTACTGTATAAATAATGTAAACACATTCATGACTGCATATTGGAATGGCTATTAGGAAAGGTACTAGACAGTGACATCATGTGTTTACTCTTGAACACTGCAAAGAATCGAACATTTCTGCTATTGCTAATAATAACAATAATAATAATAATAACAATAGTAATAATAATAATAATAATAATAATAATAATAATAATAATAATAATAATAATAATAAATACGATATAATTGAAGAAGGAAATTGTACAAAAATACGAGGGAGTGGTTGACACATCGTCAGTGTGACTTTGTTTATGCTGGAGTGAGCATTAGTCTCCCTGCTCTTCCAAACATTTCACAATAATTCAGTTGAGGCAGTGGTATTTAATAACATATATGTTATAAATAATAATAGTACATGTTATTATTAATAACATGTATTATTATTAACATGTATGTATTTAATAACATATATGCTATAAATAATAATAGTACATATTATTAATAACATGTATTATTATTATTAACATGTATGTTATTAAATACCATTGCCTCAATCACTGCCTCTACCACTCCAGTCACACTCAATCTACAAGCACCAAACAATGAATTATTGTGAGAGGTTTGGAAGAGCAGGGAGACTAATGCTCACTCCAGCATAAACAAAGTCACACTGACGATGTGTCAACCACTCCCTCATATTTTTGTACAATTTCCTTTTTCAATTATATCATTATTATTATTATTATTATTATTATTATTATTATTATTATTATTATTATTAATTACTATTACTATTATTAACTATTGTTATTTTAATTAGCTGTAGCAGAAATGTTTAATTCTTTGCAGTGTTCAAGAGTAAACACATGATGTCACCGTCTAATACCTTTCCTAATAGCCATTCCAATATGCAGTCATGAATGGGTTTACATTATTTATACTGTAGTTTAATAGCAAATAATGAACAAACAAAACACTCACCACACTGAGTGGTGGGAGGGCTGGCTGCCAGTTGCGGGGGTCGGAGGGAGGGTAGTAGGGACTCACAGGTGGCGGGAAACTTAAATATGATTTGGCGGCTGGGAATTTGGTGGCTGGGAATTTGGCTGTTGGGAATTCGCGAAT